TATATCACATTTCTGCAATTTGCGATTTCGGCAGGGTGTTCAAGAGAACAAGTACAAGATGATGGAGAAGGCCATGCGAGCCATGCATTGGACCAAGGTCAGGTCACTGTGGACGTCTCATTGTAGACATATTCTTACACATGTATATATACATGTATATATACATATATATATATTGATATATTATGCATATACATATTTACAAATTAATATATATATAGAATATACATATTTCGTGTATATTTTCTTCTCGATTCTTTGAAGCATTTGGATGCATTTGTCGATGTATTTCGCTTTATTTCGCCAGGATCTTGACTTTGAGAAAGAAATGATAAACCGAACCCATTTGCGGTCGGGGGGCCCACATGTTCAAGTCTGCCTTCTGGCTGGGATCCTTCTGTTGGGAGAAAGAATTGGAGTCGCTTTGCGACGAGTACTGCCCGCACCCAGAGAATAGGAGAGGAAAGCAGCGGCCTACTTGGCCCAACCAAAAGTCCACTGGGGTCAAACTTGGCCGTCGTTGGCCCAAGTTGGGCCGAATGCGAGCCAACTTGTGCCCAACTTGGACCCAACTCGTGCTGACCTTGGGCCATAACATGCATAACTTGGTCCGGTGTGGGGGCAAAAATACAAGGTGTCAGTGTTGCATTGAGTCCGTAAATTGGCCCGGTTGGACCCAGCTTGAGCCGGCCCCCAAAAGGGCCCAAGTTGACCAGTGTTAGGGCGACCCAAGTTGGGGCCTTGTTGGCCAATGCTGACTCCAACTGTTGTGGACATGTGGGGTCGAAATGTACAAATTACCGCAGCCCTGTGCACTTTTTGGCGAGGTGTCGATCCTGAAAATGACCTCCCCCAGCCGGAAGCTGTACCAGTTGAACAGATCTGTTCGTATCATCCGCTGCTAAACTACCACGCCTCGGCACCCTTGGTGCGCACGAATTCAAGGATTTCAATAGCTTTTTCATTATCTGCGATTATCCTTACGTCTTAGGTTGGAATAGCAAAGGCTTGTACTCGGCACATGCTAATTGTGTGGCCGCAGGGATTTAGTTTGTAGATCATGGTAGGCCTTGGGGCTCAGGATTGCAGCCGGCATTTGCATTTGGCTGGGTCGTTTCATTTCCGTGGCAAAGGAGTCGCGTCATCCATTTTGACCAATTGACCAGCTCCAAGGATTGCTGCGGTTCGGAATCACTACGAGCAAGACTGTGGTTTCAGGGAAAGCAGCGAGGACGGGCCAGCCGGGATGGACGGTCGAGGGATTGGAAACACTTTGACATTCGATCAAAAAAATGGGAACAGTCCAGCCTTCAGCATCCTTGAGCGTCATGTGGGTGTCAGAATGGGTGAGCGAAGTTGAGTTTTGGGGTTCCTCTCAGCCAAGCGAATCCGACCAGCTGCTTGCCCTGCGGCTAGGAGGGGATCGCATGGTTCGAAAAGAACCTGCAGCGCATTGGCATTGATACGTGGGCAACCCCAATCGTGCGATGTGGGTTGCTGGGGCTGCTAGATGCCGTTGATTCAACTGGACTCAAGTTTTATAGACAGGAACTCGGGAATTTTGTTTTTTTGGCTGAATGATATCATGCGAATCATGTGGGGTTCCATGGTGATTTGATGCTTTCCGTCTGGAATGTTTCCACGTTGCTTGGATTAGCCGAATTGCGATTTCTGTGGTTGTGTTGTGAGCGAGAGTGATCACGTCTCAAGCGTGTACCAATTTCAAAAAATAAAAGTTGTAGGCAGTTAGAGGGGTACAGTGATGTTGATATTGTCAATTGTTGTTCATCACCGTCCGCTTGAAGAAGACAATGACGATGATTATGACACTGATGACAAGGGTGATGATGCTGCTACTGCTCCTGCTGCTGCTTCTTGCTGATGATATGAGCCTGGCTCCAGCATTGCACAGGTCGGAGCATTCAGGAACCGATATTGCCACTATAGAAGCAGCCACTCTCAAGGATTGGGCGGCAAGCAGCTGTGTCAGCTTTGTTTGGTGTATACTGCGTATATTTTTCTAACAGTGAATTTTGGCAGACTCTCCTGCACTCCCAACTTGGGGGAGATTGTGGCATATCCCACAAGGCAATGTGTGTGATTCTGAAAGCAATGGAACTGTCTTTGCCCAGGAGCTTTATGAGAAGATGAATGACAAGCTTCCGACCAAGGCAGGTTTGTTGAACCTTCTTGAAGCTTGTGGAGCGCTGACGCCAAGATGAGCCCCCTAAAATCTTAGATGGCGTATTGTTAGAATTCAGAAAACATGTCCGCTGACTGCCCCACATTTGAAGGATGTGGCAAAGTTGGGCGAACAAATCATTGCCATTTTTTCTCTTGAGCCCCGAACGTCAGACAAAAATTCACAGCACGGAGCTGCAGGCACAACTCAAGATTGAGTCAGACAAACGTGGCAAACTCAGAATGGGTGGATGATGGAGGCCCATTGTAGATTTGGAAGCTTGGGGAAAATCCAACATTTTGTGAGGCATCACCTGACATGCGGCTGGTTGTATACGATCCCTCCATGGGTTGGATGATGTTGGCAAATTTCAGCGCCCTGGTAGTGCTGCAATGTTCATTGGCAGTTCGTCAACTTTTGCACTGGATGTCACTGCAGCCCTGCAAGCGTGACTACCCTGATCCAGGTATTGCCACAATCCGCGAGACGAAGCAAGAGACTGACATTGCACGGAAGGCGGTGTTGAGCTAGATCTATGGCATTGGTCGGGTGGTTTGGCAATGAAAAGTCCTCAGTTTCCATAGGTAGATCGTCCAAAACATGGTGAATCTTCCACGGCTATGTTAAGTTCCCAGAGGTTGCTCCACCAAAGGGAATTTCTCGGGAAACCGAAGCATTGTGAGGCCAATGTTTTAGAAACCTTTTGTTAAGCTCCGGTCATGGTGTGCCAACAGAGCAGAAAATCAACATGCGAGTAGTGTGGCATCTGTTTATACAACACCATGCCAAGCGTCTCCTGGCTTTGTCTTTTCCTTGTAATTTCATGAACAGTTGGCAAAAATTCGATGGTCCAGAGAATCTCAGGATCCAGGGATTTTTCCCCAAACAGTGTACTGTTAAGGGTTCTTGATTCCCCAAGCAGTGAACAAGCAGTGAACTGTTAGGGCTGTTAGGGGTTTTTAATGCTTTCTAAAGGTGTCCGCCTTGGTGTTGGATTCTGTGCCCGCCTTCCCGAGGTTTTGTCCCCCCTTGTCTCCCATTGTCTCCCCACATGTGTGCCTGTGTTGGATGGTGTGTCCGCCTTCCCGAGGTCTTGTCTCCCCTTGTCTGCAATTGTCTCCCCACATGTGTGCCTGTGTTGGACGGTGTGTCCGCCTTCCCGAGTTCTTGTCTGCCCTTGTCTCCCCTTGTCTCCCCTTGCCTCCGCTTGTCTCCCATTGTCTCCCCACATGTGTGCCTGCGTTGGATGGTGTGTCCGCCTTCCCGAATTCTTGTCCCCCCTTGTCTCCCATTGTCTCCCCACATGTGTGCCTGTGTTGGATGGTGTCCACCTTCCCGAGGTCTTGTCTCCCCCAGGTCTTGTCTCCCCCTGTCTCCCCTTGTCTCCCCTTGTCTCCCATTGTCTCTCACATGTGTGCCTGTGTTGGATGGTGTGTCCGCCTTCCCGAGGTCTTGTCTCCCCTTGTCTGCAATTGTCTCCCCACATGTGTGCCTGTGTTGGATGGTGTGTCCGCCTTCCCGAGGTCTTGTCTCCACTTGTCTCCCATTGTCTCCTAACATGTGTGTCTGTGTTGGATGGTGTGTCCGCCTTCCCGAGGTCTTGTTTCCCCTTGTCTCCCCTTTTGTCTCCCCTTGTCTCCCATTGTCTCCCCACATGTGTGCCTGTGTTGGATCGTGTGTCCGCCTTCCCGAGGTCTTGTTTCCCCTTGTCTCCCCTTTTGTCTCCCCTTGTCTCCCATTGTCTCCCCACATGTGTGCCTGTGTTGGATGGTGTGTCCGCCTTCCCGAAGTCTGGTCTCCCCCTGTCCCCCCTTGTCTCCCATTGACTTCCATTGTGGCACATGTGCGCCTGTGTTGGAAGGTGTGTTCGCCTTTCCCAGGTCTTGTCCCCCCATTGCTCTCATTGTCTCCACATGCGTGCCTGTGTTGGATTGTGTGTTCGCCTTCCCGAGGTGTGCTTGTGTCGGATGGTGTCTCCGCCTTCCCGAGGCCTTGTGTCCCTGGCCTCCCTCACCAGCTTGTCTCCCAGCTTGTTTCCATTCCTGTTTCCCTTTCTTGGATGGTGTGTCTGCCTTCCCGAGGCGTTGTTCCCTTGTCTCCCAGCTTGTCTCCTAGCTTGTCTCCCTTCTTGTTTCCCTTTGTTGGATGGTGTGTCCGCCTTCCCGCTTGTCTCCCATTGTCTCCCTTCTTGTTTCCCTTTGCTGGATGGTGTGTCCGCCTTCCCGAGTCCTTGTTTAGCTTGTCTCCCAGCTTGTGTACCAATTTGTCTTCCTTCTTGTTTCCCTTTGTTGGATGGTGTGCCCGCCTTCCCGAAGTCTTGTCTGCCTTGTCTCCCAGCTTGTTTTCCAGCTTGTCTTCCAGCTTGTCTCCCAGATTGTCTCCCAGCTTGTCTTCCTTCTTGTTTGGATGGTGTGCCCGCCTTCCCGAGGCCTTGTCTCCCTTGTCTCCCAGCTTGTCTCCCAGCTTGTCTCCCTTCTTGTTTCCCTTTGTTGGATGGTGTGTCTGCCTTCCCCTTGTCTTCCATTGTCTGCCTTCTTGTTTCCCTTTGTTGGATGGTGTGTCCGCCTTCCCGAGTCCTTGTTTAGCTTGTCTCCCAGCTTGTGTACCAGTTTGTCTTCCTTCTTGTTTCCCTTTGTTGGGTGGTGTGTCCGTCTTCCCGAGGCCTTGACTCTCTTGTCTCCCAGCTTGTCTCCCAGCTTGTCTCCCAGCTTGTCTCTCCCAAGTCTCCCAGCTAAAATTATCGCACGCCGAGAATTGCGCAAACATCCAATTGGACAGTCCTATGCTGCTTGATTCGAGAGCATTTGGATCCAAATAGTTGCACCCCCATCGGATGTTTCCTTCATCGTTTTTTGGCATCTAGCGTTGCAACAAAGCAAACGAAGCCGAACAAAATAAACGTATATAAAGTGGTCTCCGGCACTTATTGTAGACATTTTCACCATCCCTGTCGCTGTTATTCATGTGTTTGACCCCGTTCCTCAAATCACTTCTTGAATCCGCCCCCTGCCTGGGGTCTACTGTGGTGAAATGCTTTCTTAAGGTGTCCGCCTTGAAGTGTTGGATTCTGTGTCCGCCTTCCCAAGGTCTTGTCTCCCCTTGTCTTCCCTTGTCTGCCATTGTCTCCCCACATGTGTGCCTGTGTTGGATGGTGTGTCCGCCTTCCCGAAGTCTTGTCTCCGCTTGTCTCCCATTGTGGCACATGTGCGCCTGTGTTGGAAGGTGTGTTCGCCTTCCCGAGGTCTTGTCTCCCCAGTGTCTCCCTGCATATGTGTGCCTGTGTTGGATGGTGTGTCTGCCTTCGCAAGTTCTTGTCCTCCCTTGTCCCCCATTGTTTGCCAATGCCCCCCATTGCTCTCATTGCCTCCCATTGTCTCCCCACATGTGTGCCTGTGTTGGATGGTGTGTTCGCCTTCCCGAGGTGTGCCTGTGTTGGATGGTGTGTCCGCATTCCCGAGCTCTTGTCTCCCCTTGCCACCCATTGTCTCCCATTGCTGCACATGTGTGCCTGTGGTGGAAGGTGTGCTCGGCTTCCCCAGGTGAGGTCTTATCCCCTTATCTCCCCGCATGTGTCCCTGTGTTTCATGGTGTATCCGCCTTCCCGAGGTCTTGTCTCCCCTTGTCTCCCCACCTATGTTGGATGGTGTGTTCGCTTTCCTGAGGTCTTGCCTCCCTTGCCTCCTATTTAAAGGCTTACGCCTGACAGCCGGGCGCCGGCCAAGCAATCTTGGCACCATGTTGGCCCTATGTTGGGCCTATGTTGGCCTATGTTGGGCCTGTGTTGGCCGATTTTGAGCCATCTTGGGAGCTATGTTGGGGCCATGTTTGAGCCATCTATGTTGAAACGATCTAAGATGCCAATTTTTCCGCCCCGGGCCCCCTACTGGAGCCCAAAACCACGTAAAAACCAAGGTTTTGTAACATCGCCAGGATGAAATCACTTGCCACCGAAGGGCCCGAAACACCGTAAAAAAACAATGTTTTTGAACATCGCGCGCACAAACAGCGTAAATTACAGGGACTTCAGTCGACACGGAGTCCCCGGGGTGAACCGGAGGTGGGTCGGCGGCAGGGGGCGCAGCGCCTATAACTAACCTTCGGTTGCCACCGAATAACCTTCGGTTACCACCGAAGGCCTCTGGCAAGGATACGGGCTGCGTGGCCGGTGCCCGGATTTTCTCTCATTGTTTTGCCACATGTGTGCCTGTGTCGGATGGTGTCTCCGCCTTCCCGAGGCCTTGTCTCCCTTGCCTCCCTCACCAGCTTGTCTCCCAGCTTGTTTCCATTCCTGTTTCCCTTTCTTGGATGGTGTAACCGCCTCCCAGCTTGTCTCCCAGTTTGTTCCTTCTTGTTTCCCTTTGTTGGATGGCGTGTCCGCCTTCCCCCTTCCTTCCCGAGTCCTTGTCTCGCTTGTCTCCCAGCTTGTGTACCAGTTTGTCTTCCTTCTTGTTTCCCTTTGTTGGATGGTGTGCCCGCCTTCCCGAGGTCTTGTCTGCCTTGTCTCCCAGCTTGTTTTCCAGCTTGTCTTCCAGCTTGTCTCCCAGCTTGTGTACCAGTTTGTCTTCCTTCTTGTTTCCCTTTGTTGGATGGTGTGCCCGCCTTCCCGAGGTCTTGTCTCCCTTGTTTCTCAGCTTGTCTCCCAGCTTGTCTCTCCCAAGTCTCCCAGCTAAAATTATCGCACGCCAAGAATTGCGCAAACTCGAAAGCTTACAGAGCTCCGGGATTGACAATGATGTCATTTTTCACCTTCATCCTTCGATGTTTTCAACACATCCAATTTGACAGTCAGTCCTATGCTGCTTGATTCGAGCGTTTGGATCCAAATAGTTGCACCCCCATCGGATGTTTCCTTCATCGTTTTTTGGCATCTAGCGTTGCAACAAAGCAAACGAAGGCGAACAAAATAAACGTATATAAAGTGGTCTCCGGCACTTATTGTAGACATTTTCACCATCCCTGTCGCTGTTATTCATGTGTTTGACCCCGTTCCTCAAATCACTTCTTGAATCCACCCACTGTTTGGGGCACACGGTGCTGTAATTTTAAACCAGGAACGCGCGCGACGCGAGCGTCGAGTGCAAGTGGAGCAGCAGCAAATTGCGGCCAGCGCCTCTGGGAAATTTGCGACAAGTGGAGCTGAAAGATGCCTTTGGAGGCTGAATTTTTTCTGTACGAGTATCTCCTGCATATATTTTGCTTCCCCTCCTCTCTCTCTCTCTCTCTCTCTCTCTCCCTCTCACTGCACAGGGACAGCTAGCTATCTGAACAATTGTGCACCTTGAATCATATTGCCTCCTTCGAGTCTTGTTGTAAGGCCGCAATGGAAGCCAAAAAGAGGCCGGGCACTGGGTCCTTTTCAGCTTGCACAGCAATCAAGACCAAGGACATTCACAATGGATAAGTAAAAGTATGAGAAGTTAAGGAAGGTGGGATTCAACTGATTAAACCTCTCAAAACTGTGGCTATGAACCACAAAAATTGGGGGTCGGGGTTTTCCATGGACTTCGAACGCTCCCAAGGGAGGAGGAACTCCAAGCACAGCAGCTGCTGGAAGCCGACAGGTGCGCCTTGGGAGACCGGATGGCTTCAGTGCTTCAACAAAGAGAGGGTACAACATGGTAAACATGGTACAACTTGTACAACCAAAATTAGATCCTAATCAGGCGAAAACTCTGCCGGTGTGTTGCATCATGTTGACCCACCCTGAATAAATGATTGAATCAACGCAAAGTAACATGGCTGAGCCCAGACCTGCCAATTTGCAGCTGTGTGGTACAGCATAGTGGCTGAGGATCAAAGAGGAGCAAGCGGCGGCTGAAGAGAAGAAGCGCCGCAAAGAGGCCATGGTGGCCCTGCGGACCTCGGAGAAATAGAATTTCCACAGGAATTTTGAGATATTTGGATTGCTGTTCATTGAACTTTGTGGACTAACTGTTCATTGATTTTACTGCAGGAGACGCACTGCTTGTTCTGACCCATTTTGAGGCTTTCCTTTGCCACACCAGGCACAATGGGAGGAACGAGTGGCGAAGCACGTGGCCTACAAGGAGAAGCTTGAAGCAGAATCCGAGGAGGACGGCCCTGTGGGCCAGTGGGCCACAGAGACTCTCCCAGCACCAACCCTCTTGGCAGTTTGGCAACTTCCCCACTGACAGCGACCAAATCTGAACTCTTACGACTGGCTGTCAAATGTTTGCTGTGTTTCATCATTTTTCATTGGTTCTTTATGTTCTTTGAAAATCATTCAACCCCCATGGGGAGTTCCCAGATTCGGTAGAAGGTCTTGGCAAATTTCCAATGCTGGAGCTTTGGCTGCCCAATTGGACGAAAGTTCTTGACAAGTTCTCCGAGCTCACCAGCTGGACCTTGTAGGCGTGGCAAAAGATGGTAGAGAAGGCCAGAGAGGAAAGAGCCATCAAAATAAAGCCATGGCCTAAGCGGCCTAAGATGGTTTGGAGGGGTTTTACTTTGCATACTTTGCATACTTTGCTTTGCTTGCGGCTCACCCAGTTGCTCTCAGCTAAGCAGTTTCCGTTGATGGCGATGGTCCAGTTGTTTTTTGTATTGTGTCAGGGTCAAAGCATTGGGGCCCTGAAATTGGGTAGAGCAACATCCGTAAACGTTCTATTCCATTCATTTTGAATATTTCGGATAGGTTCCATAGTGTCTCCATGGTTTCTTCATGGTTTCCATATGGTTTCCATTCTACAATGTTTTTGTTTTATGTTGCGAATCCTGCCCTGGAAAAAAGCTTCTTTGAATTTGTGGCGCAGAGGCTCCAAACCACCACCACCAAGTTCGAGGACCCGAAGGACGTCTCTTCGGATGAGAACGGGCCCCAAGATTCCGCCGCTTCATTGACAGTCCATAAAGTTAGCAGCGGTTAGCATGATCCAGTCTAAAAGGATAAAAGTGACATGAAGAGTGGTATGATATAGGCTTATAATATCTTATAATGGCTTAGACTTGTTGATGTGCAACTCATGGTTTTGCAGTACCCTTCATGTTCTTGGAGAGAAAAACGTGAGTTCTTGACTGTGGCACGTTTCACCGCGACATGCCCTCGTGATGCAAGGGATAAGCCTGCTGTTGCTGCTCCTCCAGTCGAAAGAAAAAGGCAATTTATTTTTTGCTTGCACTTTGCAAATGTCCTAGAAGTTCATGTGAAAACAACCACACATTGGCATGAAGCTAACATGCCTCCTTGCAAAAGTGCATCTTCTACCGGTTGTGATGTAGGCGTGAGTAGGCTGGTGGCAAAGGGTTTGCTGACATGCGAAACATGCGGTCACTTGGGGGAACAAGTCAATCCTGTTCGGTTTTGTAAATAACATACAGTTGAAAAGGGACCACTTTGAAGACTTCTTGTCAGTCAAAAACTCCATGAGACTACTGTGTTTATCTATTACTTATTCCGGTCTGCCCCAGACTTGAGAACTCCATACACGCACAAAGGTTCGTCAAGTTACACGATTGATCACGATTGTAGATTCTGTTTGGTGATCTCAATGGGGGACATGCGGGACATGCGGGACATCCTGCTTTCCGGTGGCTTTATCAAGTCTCCAGCGAAGGGGAAGCATTGCGGCACACATGGCCAGCAAAGAAAAGACCAGGGAGGAGTTGTCTGTGCGTGGCCTAGACACGGGATGTTGATGGATGTATGCAAAACGATTTAGCAGATGGATCATTTTCAGGTTATATATGTTATTATGTTCTTTATCTTTTTCTGTGTTCGAACTCACAGCAGTCCGATTCACTCATCGGAGCTTAGCATTGGTGGCTTGCAAGATTTCGATTCAAACGTCTACAGCGGAAGTTTTCCCCTTGCCACTTTGACGATCCACTCATGAATTCCCAGATGATTGCTACAATCTTTTCATATCTTTTCCTTGCCAGGTGGAGGACAACTCTGCTTCTGCCAGCAACTGAGAGCGCCATCTGCAGAGATGCAGCACGATGGCCCGTCGTGATCGTATATCGATGCTTCAACATGGTCCCGTCTACCCTGAAAACTGAAATCAGTGTGGTCAAAAAGGGTATTGTATTTCAACTCGAACAGTTTCTGCGACTGAAATAGAATCAGATGGTGGATTCGGGGGTTTCCTCAACTGTTGGACTCTTCCAAACTACTACAGTACATGTTCCCGAGATCTCTGAGGCAGCTCCAGACATAGAGATTGCTGCTGCGGAGGATGCATGCCGGTTGGGTTGAATTCCTCGGGCAAAATTGGGGAGGGCTAGAGACTTACTGTCAGACTGTCTCTACAGATCTCTACAGAGAAGAAGGGTGGTGACATCTCATGTGTTTGCATCTCGGTCGTCTTCCCTGGTTTGCCTCGACTTATTGCTTCATTTGGCATGCTGGAAGGCCTTTAGAATTCCCCAGGGTTGCAAATGGGGCAAACCAAAGGAATTCCAATGCTGGAAGGATCTCCTTCACCAATCTTCACCATCCATTGGGATGAAAGAGAAATCATTTCTGCTTTAACTGAATCATCTGAATCACGTGCCTCACGTGCCTCTCGAAATCTCATGGTCTTTTGATGTCTTTTGGCAGGAACTGATGAGCTGCGTGAGGGAGCAGGTCATGATGGACTACCTTTTTGGCCGTGGGGATTGGACCAACTACATGCCATCAGAGGCTGGGTCTGGAGTTCGAAAGATTTTCGAAAATTTCCGAAGTATGAAGACACTGAAAGATTCACAGCTTGAGGAGTGTCTCAGTGTCTCTGTTGCTGGCTGGCCAACAAATAATGGGCTTCAAGGTGTTTGAATGGAGATTGAAACTATGATAGTGCCGAAGAGAAATCTAAGGAAAGCATTGGGATGACACACCTCAAGATTGCCAAGATGACCTTGGCATTTAGACACAAGACTTACGCGATGTTACTAAGCAGTTTTGGACATGGTATAGCAATAGAGTTGTATGCAGCCAATACCACTGGATATCTCAGAAACAATCCTGGGATGGGCATTCTCCCCACATCGCTACACATTGCTAGAAACTTGCCAAGATTTGCACCCAAGGAGGAGACTGGAACCACCCTTCGACGTGCCCTGAACAATTTGGGCGAGAATGCTGAGGTGGAGAACTGCTTAAGCTGAAATTGAAGATCTTGAGATATCCCATGAGATAGCTGATGATATGTTTTGAGATGGGCGAAACAAATTGCACTGCAGACCCACTTGAAGTCTAATGCACGAACAGGGTTCTGTTGACTGGAAATCCGGTTTTGAATTTCGAAATTCTTCAGGAATGGCGAGGTTTCCATTGCCAGTATGGGATGTGGGTTGGCTGGGTCACTCGATCGGGGGGATTTTCAAATCTTCACTTGACACATTTAGGGCCGCGGAGTTTGCATTGGTTCGCATTTCTTATGTGCGGTATGTGCTCTCACCAGCCTCAGACGGCCCATCGAACGCCATCGCATTTGACACCAGGCCCCCATAGTTCCACGTCTTGGCAGCGTGCCGAACTCATTGAACTCAGGCGACCTCAGGTTTTGGATGCTTCAGCACCCAGCAGCAAAGGGACCGGGATTTGTTCTTTCCTTGTGGGCAAAGACTAGGCCCGGACTTGACATGACTTGAGTCCATACAGTTCATCGACATTTCCTCAATGTTTTGGAGGATATTCTTGAGGCCTTTGTGGACATGAGGTTTGCCAGACATGTTTGATAATTGATTACTTTATGCCATGTCTGAGGTGGTGCAATGGCTCTGCAAATCCTCGCCCAGCTGTACACACCAGGTGCTGCGGCTTCCGGCAGGGAATGGAGTGTCAGCTGTTAGTGCAGAATAGTTCTTCCATAAACCAATCAACTAGGGTTCCGTATGCAGAATCCCAACTTGCCCTTTAGTTCGTTTTCTCGCTGCTTTAAATCAACTAACATGACTGCCCAAATCAACTAACATGACTGCCCAATTCTGTTTGTCTGGAAGTGATTTTGATATTGGAAGGTTCAAGAAGCTTACACTGACACATGAGAATCCAAACCAGGCCCAAGCAAGGGGCCAACAGATTTTGATACCTCTTGGCCAAGCATTATTGACAGTGAGATTTTGAATATTTTTTGAGATATTTTGACATATATATATATAATACATAAAATATATATAATATACTGTATATATGTTGTGAATATTTGTATCCCTACTACAGTGGTTTGGAGGGTCACGGCTTAGGAGGGTTGAAACTTAAGACACAACGGAACACGCATGCCGCCACCCAGTGGTTCAAGAAGAAAATCTAATAAGTTGAGACGCCCGATTTGATCTTTTTGCTCCGCCACAGGCTCCAGCCGTGAGGAAACAGGCGAGGGAAAGGGTCCGCTCGCCTGTGAGACAAATGGAATCCTGGGATCCCATTTGGATCTCACGAAATCATGTGATTCTCTGCGGGTGGAGAGTTGGGACTCCTTCCGGGCACAGTTTCAGGCAGCATTTTTATGCATTTTGTCGAGGATTGCAATGAGTTGCAATTCACAATGGGGTTGTCACACACTCATGGCTTGCCGTTAACTCCGCCTGGGACCTGCAGCAAAACGGCTGTTTCCTTCAGGGCCATTGCAAGAGAATGCAGCAGAGGCGATTTTTTCAGGTCGAGCCAATTCAGGTGGAGCTAGGTTTGGCATTTCAGGATGCCAGAGCCAATACTTTCAATACTTTCAATACTTGCCACATGTCGATTCATGGCAATCTTTTGAGCTTCATCCGCGGCAGTGAATCACTGAAAGCCTAGACACACCTAATTTGCTTGGCCTGACGCCATGGTTCAGCCCGATGCTGGCAGCATTAAGGCCCATGAAACGTAGAGGGCAATGACTGCATGGAACTTTGTGTAATATCAGCTAGAGTCTTGAGCTTGGACTTGGGACAGGGCTAGTCACTAGTAGTCGTTAAGTCATTGCTGTCAAGCTGTTATCGAATCAAGGAAGTGCATCATATGGAGGGTGCGATGTGCCAACCGAATGTCTCAAACTTGAGAACCACCACTCAGGTGTCTGACACTCGGTCGATGTAATGCCAAAAACCTTGCTTCTCAGGACTTCTGGGACAGTTTATCTACCCATGTTGCAGCAGCATTTCACTCTGCTACCCGAGCAAAAGTTTTGCAGAAGGGAAGAAACATCGAACAGGGTTGGATGTTCAACTTCATCATACTTCCTCAGAAATATGGTTATATAATTAATGCAAATTAATGTAGCTTATAAAGTCCCGGTCTACCTCCAGTATTGGTATGATGATTATGATGTTGTATCCCCAGTGGCAAAGGTCCTTGGGTTTGTCTTCCAGGCTTCATCAGTGGGGTGCTGTTCCGAAAAAGTCGACGCCGTCGAGACCGCTGAGGCGAGACTGCAAAGGGATCATGATTGAATCATTGCATCTGGGATTGAATCATGTAATAGGTTCCACGTGGTTCCACATGGTTCCACATGGTTCCACATGATTCCACATGGTTCCACATGGTTCCATGCACATGGTTCCATGCACATGGTTCCATGCACATGGTTCCATGCACATGGTTCCATGCACATGGTTCCATGCACATGGTTCCATGCACATGGTTCCATGCACATGGTTCCATGCACATGGTTCCATGCACATGGTTCCATGCACATGGTTCCATGGACATGGTTCCATGCACATGGTTCCATGCACATGGTTCCATGCACATGGTTCCATGCACATGGTTCCATGCACATGGTTCCACGCACATGGTTCCACATGATTCCACATGGTTCCACATGGTTCCACATGGTTCCACATGGTTCCACATGGTTCCACATGGTTCCACATGGTTCCACATGGTTCCACATGGTTCCACGTGGTTCCACGTGGTTCCACGTGGTTCCACGTGGTTCCGCGTGGTTCCACGTGGTTCCACGTGGTTCCACGTGGTTCCACATGGTTCCACGTGGTTTCACGTGGTTCCACGTGGTTCCACGTGGTTCCATAGGCTTGCTGCCAATGCAATAGATACTCTAGATGCTCCATAAATCCAAGGTTTACTGCGGGGGGTGCCTGTGCTGGCCCTTGGTTGCTCCGGGGGCTGTGACACCTTGGCTGGAGGGGGTTCGCCCCACGTCGGAAGACCTCTGGTGTGCAGACCCTTCCTCCGGCCTCGGTGCCTTGCTCCTTTGCGGCCTCGGTGCGCATGGCGTGGTTGCAGCGGCTCCTACACTCCGTGGTACTGGTCCTCCTGCAGGGGGCCGCCGTTGGCCCGACATGGTGGGCGCACAACATGGGTCGGCCGTCTCAGACACAGCCGGTGCCTGGTGCCCTGCCTTGCATAGGCCGGCGGTGCCGCGCCCTCTTGACGAAGCAGTTGCACGCTGCTTGGCGGGAGCCTGAAGCCTGCGTGTGGGACCCGCTGCTTCCATGGCGCCCGTCGCTGACACCTGTCTTCCGACGTCGGCGAGGGCGGCTCCTTCGTCGCGGTCGGGCTTCGGTGCTCCGGCGGACACGTTGGCGAGGTTGGCCACAACGCGGTTGTCGCATCGGTGAGGCTGCCCACCCAGGCCCACCGGTGCCAGGCACACCTGTTGGCGGTGAACGACCTGCCCGTGAACGATCCCCACCGCGCCCGGCACAGCGAGTCTTTTGTCCTGTGCCGTCATGCCCCTGCTCTGACGCCAGGCGGGCACGAGGCTGGACCAGCGTGTCCACCATGAGAAATCACATCGATGCCCATCTCGCCGGGTCTTTGCAAGGGGACGTGCCGGTTGCCTGGATGGACTTGCACAGCCGCACTCGCTGTTTGGTGTGTGGGCTGAGCGTCTCTCGGGCGCATGGGGTCCACCCAACCTGCCGCCCAGCGGCCCGGGCTGCTGCGGTCGATGGCGCTGACCCTATGGATACGGATGCTTTGCCGCTCCCTTCCCTCACTGCCATCCAGGCCGCTAAGACTGCCACACTGCGGCACGTTCCTGGCGTTGCCCGCCACAGTTGGAACCAGGTTTTCACCAGGGCTCAGTCGTGCACAGCAATGATGACAAAGCCTGGCGAGAGTTACTGATGCTCCCGAAGTGCGTCTTGTGTGCCCCCACCCGTGGCGGGCGGCGGCATAGCAAAGCAGCTGGGGCCTACACTCTGGACCGGCTGCACCGATGGCAAGAAGGAGACCGGCTTGGCCTTTGGGAATCCCGGCCTACCCAGCGATCAGCGAGTGGCCAGCGCCCCTCAGCAGAGCAACGGCGGGTTTTAGCAACAAGCCTGGCCAGAGAAGGCTTTGACCGGAAGGCCTGCGCCGCCTTGGTGTCCAACGGGTTGTGTGCCCCCACCACTGAAACGCTGGAAGCCCTACGGGCGCTCCACCCGCAACAGCCTCCGCCAATGGTGCCAGAGCTCAATGACTTGCCATTGGCTCCGGAAGTTGCTCGCTGTCTCCGGGCCTTTCCTGCCGACACCGCGCCGGGGCCCAGCGGACTGCGTGTTCAACACCTCAAAGACGCATGCATTGCCGGGAGCCAGGAAGCTTTCTTCTCGCATTTGGCAGCTGTGGTCACTTTGTTGGCGCAAGGGCGGGCGCCTGACTTCGTGGCACCTGTCTTGGCAGGGGCCGGGTTGGTGGCCCTCCCCAAGCCCAAGGGCGGGGTCCGGCCGATTGCAGTGGGTGAGATTCTGCGACGGCTGACCGGGAAATGTTTGATGAGTACTGTTCGCGACGAGGCCCGCTCCTACTTCTATCCTGCACAGCTGGGGGTGGCTGTGCCTGGTGGAGTCGAACAAGCCATCCACACCGCCCGCGCATGGTATGACCGGCACCAATGTTCCAACCAGAAGGTGGCCCTCAAGCTTGACTTCAGCAACGCCTTCAACACTGTTCGCCGTGAAGTTGTGCTGTCCACACTCAGCACCAACTTTCCCAGTTTGAGCCGGTGGGCCACGTGGTGTTATCGGCAACCCACCAGGCTGCAATTCGATGAGTGGGTTGTGGAGTCTAGCTGTGGTGTGCAGCAAGGCGACCCACTGGGTCCCTTGCTGTTCGCCGCTGCCTTGCAGCCGATAGCCAATGACCTCCGCGGAGTTGGCTTGGACATCGCGGTGCACTACCTCGATGATGGTTTCTTGGCCGGTGATGTTTCTGCTGTGAGCCGGGCCTTGCATCTGGTTCAAACCGAAGCAGCGGCCATTGGCCTCGAGCTTAACCTCACCAAAAGCGAGCTGGTTGCCGTTGGCCGGGTTGACGCTGGCGCCTTGCACTGCCATTTTCCTGATGCTCTCCTTCGGGACACTGCCACCGGTTCCTCCAGGGCGTGCCGCAACTTTGAATTCCTTGGTGCAGCCATTGGGGACGACGCCTTCACCCGTGCGCACACTGCCGACCGGGCGGCCAAGGCGGGGGACCTACTCGATGCTCTGGGGGAGCTGGAGGATCCCCAGGTGGCATTGCGGCTTCTGCGTAGCTGTGCTGGATTCGCTCGCTTGCTGCATAGCATGCGGTGCAACCCGCCCTCCCCGCAAACTATGGCTCTGGACATGTTTGACGGCATGATCCGCAGATGCTAGCGCGACTTTACAGGGCTCCACCTTACGACGCTCCAGTGGAAACAGGCATCCTTGGGCTTTGCGCACGCTGGACTTGGCTTGCGCTCCACGTCCGACCATGCCCCAGCGGCCTATCTGGCTTCATGGGCGTCAACGTTGCGCTCGGCCAGTGACATTGATGCAAGTTTCTGCATGGAAGAGAGCAAGGCAAGCCCTGCTGTTGCTGCGGCTTTGGCAGCCTTCAACGCCCAGGTTGGCCCCGCCCGGGCCATCACCATTGACACCGCCATTGCCAGCAAACAACAGACTTTGTCCCACACGCTCGATGCTGCCGGGTGGGAAGAGCAGCTGGCCAATGCTTCCTTGACTGGTCGGGCGACTCTCCTTTCAGAAGCGTCCGTGGGGGGCAGGGCGTTTCTCAGTGCTGTCCCATCCGGCCGAACTCAAATGGAGCCAGCGGTTTTTGTGACTGAAGTTCGAGCTCGCCTGAGGGTTGCTGACGCGGACAATGATGCGTGGTGCCCACTTTGCGATGCCGTGCTGGACTGCCACAGCTACCATGCCGGCATGTGCGCTGCTGGGGGAGAGAGGACTCAGCGACACCAGAGCGGGAGCGACCCGGCTTGCTCTTGCCGACTACTCCAGAGGACGTGACCAACAATACTTCTGGGCGTCGCCCTGCAGATGTCTACCTGCCCGCCTTCGCAGGGACTCCTACTGCCTTTGATTTCGCCATCACGGCGCCGCAGCGGCAGGAGTCCCTCGCGTTGGCCAGCCGGCACCCAGAACTTCCATTCCTCCTTATTTAAGGAATTCCTCCTTATT